TAAAAACACATGATCTATATTCATTATCCATGCACTAGGACTGAACCAGTTTGGAAACATGCTTAAAGCATTTCTGGTCTGAAGAAGACTAAGCTACAGGGTTTGTAGGTTTGTAGGTAGATGTGTTTGACTGGTCTTGTGACTGACCTGCTGACACACTGAGCAGTTTTTTTTTACCTTTTAAAATGTTATCTTCTTTTTTTTTTACTTAACATTTAGGGATTTTGCCAAATTCCAGCATGCACAGTTCAAAGTACATTCATAATTTAAGATGAACTTCGATGTTGTTCATTTTTTTAGTGTTGCCATCTTTCCCATCAGTTTGTAAATCCTAAATTGACTTTGTTTTTGGAACCAGCCTCAGAGCAGTCTGACCTGCAGGTTGGTATCGAGGGTTGAGGACAGCAGGAAGACAAAATCTCAGAGCTTCATCGGCCTGCACATCCAGCTCAGTGACATACTCCAGCCTGATGGAGGCGCTCTCTCCAGGGGGCAGACTGCCAACACTCATAGAGAATATATCTGGACTCTGGTCGCTCTCCTCCAATAGAAAGGCCTGTTGACCGGAGCTCAGTGCATCATCATACTCCTCACGAGCCTGGAACAAGTAGTGTTGAAAATGAGAAAACCATGTTTCTTTTGGCTCCATAGACTCTCTAAGATTGGCTCCTGCTGTAGTAGTTTCACGTGGCTAGGCTTTGTCAGCCTAGTTAATTAAAGTAATTTACAACCAAAATAATAACTACAATAATAACACATTTTTAATTAGTTAAAAAGAAATAATGACTACATTGCTGTTCCTGTCATAAAGACCTACAAGTTCTTGGTTGTTCCACTAACAGACATTGTGATGAAGCAGTAACCTGTTTTGTTCACAGCACTGCATGATACATTACTTGTCAGAACTGTTTGCCTGTTGTGTTTCACATGCACCTCCATTTCTTTTGGACGTACCTGTTTCTTCTCTTTCACCTCAGCCACGATAAGAGTCTCTCCAACTTTAGCACTGAAATGGCAGACGGCTGCTTCACTGGGCATGGGAAAAACGAACACCGCCTCGATGGGTTTCTCCTCTTTGTTTTTGTAGAGCAGTGTTGACACCACTGTGGCGACATGGTCCTTCACATCCACCTGAACATCCACACTCTGCAGAGGCACTGACACAAAACAACACACCTGACATTAGGACATGTTCAAAGCCAGGCTATGTCCAAGTGACTCTCACTTTTAATGTTAGGTTATTTGATTACTACCGTTATTGTAGATGTTACATTTAGGCCTGTCACTGCAAGGGCTGTGGTTGAGGAATTAAATAAGAATCCCGAGAAACTATCCCATGATCCCGAGAAATCATCACCCGAACCCTTAAAAGTATCCCATGATCCACTGAATATGATACTACATGATAGCACTGGCTGAATAAAGAGGTAGACAGGGAACGAGAGCAGTGTTGGGGAGTCACGGATTACATGTACCGCCGTTACGTAATCAGAGTACAAATTATGAGTAACTGTATTCCGTTACAGTTACTGTTTCAATGAGTGGTAATTGGATTACAGTTACTTTGCTGAAATAAGTGGATTACAAGGCGGTATTTTCCTGTTTTCACATTTTGTGCTACATCCCATTTATTTATTTTTTTATTTCGGTAATTTCACTCATTGCCTGAAGCCCAAACAGAACGCGCGCAATAAGAGCGATGGAAACGTCATGTTAAAGTTGGCGATGTCAGTCACACAGTGGAAGCAGCAGTGCATTGGTAAAAACGCATTTGTGTCTTGGAAATTCTTCTCCCGATGTGAGATATATATATAAAAAAACAAATATAAAATCGCCTACAACTTAAATGTGAAACCGGAGCTACTGGCACTGGTGAAAACAACCTGCATAGACTCATAATATCTACACTACTGTCCTATAATGACCTGCGACATGAGGGGACACACACACAAACACACACAAACACAAAACAAACACACAAACACACACCTTCATCATCGTCATCAACCTGAGAACCCGCGGACCACGTCTCCTTCCGTAGTTACAGCGCGGACACCGCCGTCTCGTGCGCCGCGTGTGGACCGTGTTTTCTCACGTAAACCGCGCTTCCTCATGTGCGCCTCTAAACCAGAACTAACACCAGGACTAAACCAGCACTAATCCAGGACTAAAGCAGGACTGAACCAGGTTTAAACTAGGACTAAACCACGACTAAACCAGAACTAAAGACCTGGTCTAGACCTGGTCTAAAAATCAGGACTAAACCAGGACTAAACCAGGTCTAAACAACATGACACCTAACAGTAGGTTGACATAATTTAAGGTGATCTCATATAATTTCTCTATCAATAATATTTTTTAATCTGGTGAAGGAAAGGCTTATCTTGTTACTGTCTTTTAACAGACAAAACCTCTTATATTAAGATATCGTGGTCTTTGTTTCTCTACAGCAAACAGTTGCTTATTCATGGAGACTTGGGCTCAGACAATTTGAAGACAACAAACAAGAATTTTGAGGATGTGGTTGCTACATTCATGTCGTTTAAAAAAACATGACAATATCAAGTAATCCAAAGTAATCAGATTACGTTACTCACTTTAAGTAATTTAATAGATTATGTTACAAATTACATTTTGGGGTGTGTAATCTGTAATCTGTAGGGGATTACATTTTAAAAGTAACCTTCCCAACACTGAACGAGAGAGTATCATAACTACATCTCTGCTGGCGTTACATGCACTGCAGTAGTGCAGTGTGTCTCTGGGTGCACATTTCAGTTGGTTCAATTCCCACTCTCCTTGTTCTATCTACCCTGTTTCTGTTTGTGTCCCTGTACTGGCTTTAGTGCTGAGTGCGGGTCAGTCAGCTGCTTGTCCAGAGGAGGAGTGGCTCTGCCTGCTCCACCATCTGACCTCCCCACATGTGCTAACAGAGCTGTGATGAGAGCACAGTGGAGGTGCTAGGTTAACAAGTGCATAGAAGTGAGTGCACAAATAACTTTCTTTCTATTCTAGTCGTAACTTCAGAAACTCATATTACTTTAGTAGGCTACTAGCAGAAATCTATTCACAGCAGCATACAGGAGTCCTTTGCCTTTGTCATTTCTGATCTTAAATTCATGAATATGCGTTTGTAGCGATGACAAACAGGCAGCCGTACAAAGTTTCTCTTCAATTCTCTCTTTAATTTTTCACCCAGAGCCCTTACGGGGCTCCGTACCAGTCTAATATAAATGCTCCCATTTTCTCCGTTGTTGCCAGTATTTAATCTTTATGCGTAACTGAACAATCCTTTCATTAAAGAGACACAAAACAGTGACTCGTTTATCCTTGTGTTTTTACTTGGACTATACGAGTGTATTTCCAGTGAGTCATACCTGCTTGCTTCTCAGGCGTAATCAATCCACAGCAACACCTCTCCATTTTCGCTTTATTTTACTTAGTTTTAAGAAACCTGTAAGACAAATATAAAGATATTTTGAATGGAGTCTTGCAGTAATCCGTGTAGCATCAGTAAAAGTTCAGTTTTATCTTTCAATGCTGTTTTGAACGGACTAACAATAAAAAGGCTACAATCGTAAAATGAGTATCAAACAGATAGATAGACTGTAACTGCGAGTATTAAAACATGAAGAGCAATAAGAATATACTGCGTCATGGTCCTACCTTTGACAGAAATGCAGAATACCCGGTTGTAGTGTCATCGTTTTGCCCAATACTTCTCAAGTGCGGAAGTGACACGCCCACAAGCGCAGCTGCTGTTCTGTTGGTTTACAGCAGACTGGAAATCAGAGCCCGATCTCATAAGCCTGGATCAGATCCGTGTTCCCGTAAAGTGACTGTCATACGTGAAACTAAACCGAACAAGATTTCTCTTTGGGGAGTAAACGCACTCTAAAACAGGGGTTACAAAGTTTTCAGGCCGGTACGCAGAATAACCACGCAACCTACTCCTCTGCGGAATTGATCTGAAAGCGGCGATATCAGTTGGCGGTCGTCCCATTTTACCCCGTTACTTCACATATGCTACTAGAATTAAGCCTAATTATGAGAGCAGCTCAAACTATAACATTTTGCTCTTGTATACAGCCTATGTACGCACTGCATACCCGTGCACTGGCAATCCGACTCCCTGACTCTCCTCTGTGGCCCATAGAGCAGCCCATACTTCCAGATCGATCCAATAGAAACACAAACTCTCCAGAGGAAGACACAGACGACATAATGTCTTTGGGGAACTCCGGGTACAGACTCAGCATCAGGGCTGGGTCTCCCATCAGAGAGTCTGAAAACAACAGGCAGTTGTTTATTAGGGGTGTAATGATATCCAAGTTTCACGATACAATACTGTCACAGTATGAACCTCGTGGTACGATATTTATTGCGATCTCTCGGTATGATATTTTCACGATATACAGTCAAGCCCAAAATTATTCATAGCCCTGACAAATTTTGATTTAAAGTTACTTTTATTCAACTAACAAGTTTTTTCTTAGTTGGAAATGACACAGGCGTCTCCCAGAAGACCATAAGACAATGTACAAGAGGCATCATTGTGGAAATGTTTGGAATGGTATAGAACTTTGGGATTTTTCCACAGACTCTGACAGTTTACAAAGGGTATGAATAATTCTGGACATGCCACTTTTTGTTCAAATGTAAATAAAAGTTGAGAAATATTTTTTTCCACAATGACACATTGTCTTATTATCTTCTGGGAGACACCTGTGTCATTTCCAATCAAGTAAAAACTTGCTGGTTGAATAACAGTAACTTTAAGTCAAAATTAGTCAGAGATATGAATAATTTTGGGCTTGACTGTATATCTCACAGTGCATTTATTGCAATATTTTGTGGAGGCTAACAAAGCTGTTAATATGCTACTTTTTCCTGTTAAAATGCCTTGACAAGATGTAATCAAAATAACTAAGACTTAAAAGTGATTAGAGCTGTTATTTCTTCTTGTAGCCTACACTGAAATGGAGCAAAGGCTCATGGTCTATGTAGTTCCTTTTTTCCCAGTCTATTTCTGCACCATAACCCATAATTTAAGCAAAGAGACTTGTAATTCAATATATTGTGATGGTCCACAATATTATTGTTAGAACTCTGACAATACGATAATACGATATTTCACTTATTGTTACATCCCTAACTCTTATTTGTCTATTAATTCACACTGTCATCAAAGTGTGAGCAGTGAATACACACAAATTACAACACTTCTTTCTCAATTTTTACTATAGAGTAGATAAGGTGTATTACAAAGTGTCTGAATATAACAACTGCACAACGAACAGATGGAGATAGCAGTTTTGCATCGATTTATATAAACCAAATTACTACAAATAACATCACAAGAGAAATGAAAACAAACATTGAATTCAAAAGTAAAGTTAATTCTAAAGCAGACAATAATTTAAACTAATTTACAAAAAGTCTATACAGCAAATGTGAATAAATGAACTGATTAATATTTACAGCAGGCTATACATAGAGACTGGTAATAAGTGTTATAAACTTTGCCTCTTTGAAAGATCAACAGCAACCCATATGAAACTTTGATAAAACTCTCACAATGAATTTGCAGAATCTGTGTTCCATTCCACACATTTACTGAACATAACCCTGTCACATCAGAGCTCTAAACATATGTTTAAAAAAAAACATACTTCCGGTTTGCAAAGGGGAGTGGTCACAATCAAATTTTTTGTTCCTATTGCCATGATGCCATGATTGTGTAATGACACCCCAGTGGCAAGGACTTTTGTCTTGTCGTCATGGCATCACTATGTAAATGGGGTGTGAATTTTTTGATCGAGACCATGTTACAAATGTAAAAAATGTTGTATATCTATGACAAATAAATGTTATTGTGCCATACAAATTATGTAGGCGGCACTACTGCACCCATTTTTGTATTTTCTTACATCACTCTGTTCAGGGTCAGGGTATACTAGCTAGGCTGGCGCGACCGTGCACGATGTCAAGTGCAGCCTACGTTTTCGGGTGAACGATTACAATTATGCCGCTGACGCGGCCCATGGGCAATGCCACCGTGCCATGTCAGCGGGCACCAGTCACTGACATGTGAGTGTGAGTGTGTGTTTGGAAAGGGGAGAGCGCTTCGCGCTCTGTTGCGTGTGCTGCGCACACGCCTTCCCGCAGTGCTCCGCACTGCTGAACAGTAACAATAGGCCCTACGCCACCCATGGCGCTCGGGCCTAATAATAAATATAGCCGCAAGCGGCGATGATCGGCCCTCGCTCGAGCCTACGCCGCGCCCACGCCACGCCGCACCTCGACCACGCTGAGCCCTGCACATGCCGTGCCCCACGAATGCACCTTACCCCTTGATCTAACTCCTAAATTCACCCTAACCCCTAAACCCACCTGAACTCCCAACTGTAGCCCTAACCTTAGGCCGAACCTTACCCCTAATCTTACCCTAACCTTAACCTAATCTTAACCGAACTGAAAAATTTTTCTCAATTTCTGTATGTGCTGATTTTTTTTTAAATCCAAGATGGTGGACTTGTGGTTTGGCAGGGGGGCATGGTCACAATATACTTTTTTGTTCCCATTCCCATGATGCATCTGTGTACCAAATTTGGTTTGGCTACACCAAAGTTTTTGTCGGGCGTCCTATTGGTGAGGACAGATGTTTGGCCTGTTGCCATGGCAACACGATGGGAAATGGCATGCGGGCTTCATTGACTTTTTTGATCAAGACCATGTCATGAATGTGTGTACCAAATTTTGTATGACTACGAAAAAGTAAAATTTTATTGTTCAATACAATCTCTCTAGGGGGCGCTATTGCATCTATTTTACATTTTATTATATGAATCTGTTCAGGGTCGGGGTGTCCACCAACGATTAAAGTTTGAGTGAAATCAGCCACAGTTTGTGCAAATTATCAGGCGT